CAGAATAGGAGATTGAAATAAGATAAAACTGGATTCAAAATGTGGCTCTGCTTTTACTAGCCGTGTGACCCTTTTGAGGTTTTTAAATTAGCGTAACTTGTCTTCCTTGTCTGTGTAATGGGGATAAGAAGACTTATCATAAAGGACTGTCGTGAAGGCCCAGTGGGAGAATACAAGTAAAATCAAACCTATGTACATACATTCCACAAATATTTATTGAACATACAGGGAGTATGACACAGTGGAGATCAGTATAGCATGGGGAAAGGTGGGGGAGTACTTGAGAAAGGGTGCTCGGGAAAGCCCGTTGCTGGCACAAAGAATGTGACAGAAAAGCTCAGCAAACGGGAGTTCCCATCCTTTGTGAAGTTTTCCAAACTTCGAAGTTTTCCAACTTCGACCCAGACAACTTATAAAAGTTTCTCTTCTTTAAGAAGCATGTATTCAGGGGCGCCTGGGTGGCTCAGTTGGTTGAGCGACTGTCTTCGGCTCAGGTCATGGTCCCAGGGTCCTGGGATCGAGCCCCGCATCGGGCTCCCTGCTCGGCGGGAAGCCTGCTTCTCTCTTTCCCACTCCCCTTGCTTGTGTTCCCTCTCTCACTGTCTCTCTCTCTCTGTCAAATAAATAAATAAAATCTTTATAAAAAAAAAAAGAAGCATGTATTCACTTTCTTGGGGGTACCAGCTCCCTATTTGCCAGTTCTTTCCTTTCCCCTCAGTCTCCTGTGTTTGCCCTGCCCCTCCTCACCTAAAATTCTGAGATATCAAGGAAATCGCTGGTCTTGATTCAGCAGTCAGCCTCTTGCCCTGATTCCTTCCCTGTATCATGCATATTTTGTCTGTAGGAATCTTCCTTTCTTTTAACCTTTTTTATGACAACTTTATTCACATATAATTAACAAACTGCTATCACTCCACATCTTAAGCAGCTGGTCTCTTAAGTCTGCTCATAGACCAAGCTGCAAACCCTGAATGCAGTTCCTTTGCTTAACCTTGGGCACCAATGAAACACCTAACCCAAGACATACCCTGAGTGCCTCACTTTGGACTTGGAGTCTTAACCCTAATTTCACACCAAGCCTTTAGCCCTAGCCCCACAGGGAGACCTTAATTCTATCCATAAACTGATCCCCTTTCTGGACTTAACACTTGAGGCTTTAACCCTGATTCAATGGAGTCCTTGGGTCTAGTCACATACTCATTGTCTATGCCTGATGCAAGAGTAAGTACCTATGACTGGTATCTGACTGAGTCTCTAGCTTTGATCTCCTATTGAACCATAACTATAGAAACTGATAAGCCCTCTCATGATACAGAGATCCAACCTATCATCACAGGCTGACTCTCAAGCCTGATCTACAGACTGTGACCTAACTCTGGGATATACTTAATATCCTACACTGGCCACAAAATGAGTGCTCAGCAAAGATACTGACAGAGCTTTAACCCTGACCACAGACTGAGGCTCTAACTCGGTCACAGCCTGAGATTTGATCTTGGAAACCAACCCAGCTACAATTTCCACAGACTTAGCACTAATCAGAAAATGACCCCAACACTGGCAAGAGAATGACTACTAAACTTGGCTTCATACAGAGACAAAAACATGTACAGAGATTGAACTTTAAACTTGGCCAAAGACTGTGCCTTAATCCTGGCCAAGAAGTGAAACCAAATCGACCACAAAACTTGAGGATATATTCTGACCACATCATATGCCTTAATCCTGCCCACAGAACCCTGAACATAGCCACAGCCTGAGACTTAACTCTGTTCAAAGCCCAAATTATGAACCTGGCCAGAAACTGGGTTCATAAATCTGACCACAGAATAATCCACTGAACCTGAGACAGACTGAGTCTCATCCCTGGCCACAGATTTGGCCCCTAAATCCTATACCTTCTATCTTCTTAAACTGAGTCTCTGGTCACAGACTGAATTCTTAACTCTCATCACAGACTGAGCCCATAAGCCTAACCTCCAACCTGAGTTTTCACCCTGAAAATAGAACTGATCCTCCCCAAATGGTTAATGGCTGAGCCTGAATCTTTGACATAGACTAAACCCTATCTCTGGCTAAATGCCAGCCCCAGACTGAATCCAAGCGCAGCTTTAACCTTAACTCTAGCCACAGACAGATTCCCAATAGGAGGCACTGAACTGGGCTAGGTGCCTAACCCAGTTCTAACCCTGGGCTAGGACTGAACCCAAGTCTTGAACATGAATTAAGGACAAAATGAAACAAATACTTTTCATATTTGTGTGAAACCTAGCAAGAGATTTAACCTTAACCCTGAGCACAGAGCACAGATGCAACTCACCAAGGCCAAGATCTGAGCCCTATTCCTGGCCACATACTGAGCACCACTCTGGGATGAAGAATGTAAGTCTTGTCCACAATCTGAGACCCAAAGTCTGAACCCTATGCCTGGCTAAAGAACAATTCATCACACTGCAAGGTTGATTCAAAACCCTCCTTGTATTATTAGGCCTAATAACAGGCTGAGACTGAGCACTAACCTTTGTCACAGACTGAGCCTTAAACCCATAAACAAAGTTCACTATATTAGTGGCCACAGAATGTGTCCTAGCACTAGCTTGAGGTTGAGCAACCAGCCTGGCCACAAACCTAATCCTAAATTGGGAGAGATACACCCATGACACTGGGCACAGTAGAGGCACTAAAAATTAGCACAGACTGAACTCTACTACTGATACCAGGATACCTGCTACTCTAGCCAGAGTCTAAATCCCAAAATGACAACAGGACATGAACACTCTGAACTCAAACCCTGGCAACAGCCTGAGCCTCTAAACCTGAACACAAGCTGGATCCTATGTATTGCCTATTCTCACACTAACCTTATTTGTAGACTGACATGTAACATCAACAACCTATATGAGAAACATGTTTACACTCAGCCCTAAAACCTTCTTCATAGTAAGCCTTAATCTGGCCACAGGTAACCCCTAAACTCTGGTAAAAGCTTAATCAGATACAAAAATCAGTTGCATCTCTCTATATTAACAATGAAATATCTGGAAATAAAATTTAGGAAACATCCCATTTGTAAAAGCATCAAAATAATAAAATCCATACAAATAAACTTAATCCAAGAGGTGAAAGACCTATACACTGAAAACTATAAAAACACTGATGAAAGAAATTAAAGCATATCAAATAAATAGGGAAACATCTCTGGCTCATGGATTGACGAATTAATATTGTCAAAATGTCCATACTACCCAAAGTGATCTACAGATCCAATGCAATCCCTATCAAAATCCCAATGGCATTTTAAGCAGAAATTTTAACAACAATCATAAAATTCATAGGGAACTAAACAGACAGTTCTCCAAATGGTCTTATACAAATGGCCAACAGGTATATTATAGGCAACTAATGAATCACTGAACACTACATCAAAAAATTAAAAATCAAACTACCCTATAATTCAGCAGTCTCATTTCTGGGTATATATCCAAAGGAAATGCAATCAGTATCTCAAAAATAAATTAACATGCCAATGTTCACTGAAGCATTATTCACAATAGCTAAGATATAGAAACAACCTAAATGTCCATCAACAGATGAATGGATAAAGAAAATGTGGTCTATAAATACAATGGAATATCATTCAGCTTTTTAAAAAGAAGGAAATTCTACCATTTGTGACAACACAGATGAATGTAGAAGACACTATGCTAAGTAAAAAAGCCAGTCACTGAAGGACAAATATTGCATAGTTCCACTTTTATAAGGATTCTAAAATAGTCAAACTCAAAGAAGCAGAGAGTGGAATGGTGATTGCCAGGGGCTGGGGGGAGTGAGTATAATGTTTCAATTTTGTAAGATGAATAAGTTCTAGATATCTGCTCCATAGCATAGTGCCTATAGTTAAAAGTACAGTATTGTGTACTTTAAAATATGTCAAGAGGATAGAGCTCACGTTAAACGTTCTTATCACAAAACACACACACACACACACATACACACAAACAAGAAAATTTCTGAAGGTGATGGATATGTCAGGGCCTTGATTGTGGTGATGGTATTATGGGTACAGACATATGTCCAAGCTCATTGAAAGGTATACATTAAATATGCAGAATTTTTGTGTATCAATTATACCTCAATAAAGCTTTAAAAAAATGGAAGGGCCATTGCCCATGATTTTTGTTCCTTTGACCAGGAAAATAAATTTTTCCATAAATCAAACCACATTTCCTTTTGTGCCTCATTGATATAAAAAAAATAGCGCCTGAGAAAAAGTAGTGTTAGCTTTTAGAGTCTGTATTTTGAGGAGTATAAGGCAAGGGGATATTTTAAAGGTATTGAGCTAACCAATCAACAGTATTACCACAGCAAACTAATACTATTATTAAAGAATCTATCTAAAAATATTTGATAAGTCATCCCAAAACTCAATCCAGCTACTGATCATTATAAGCCTCCTTCAAGTATCTAAATAAGCAAAAACTACATATATTGTGTATGAAATAATACTGGAATTACATCAACCAGAATGTTAATAGACAAATAAAAGCTTGATCAGATGGCACTAACAGCAGCACTCAGTGAACAGAAACTCTACACAGGGTGCCTGGGTGGCTCAGTTGGTTAAGCGACTGCCTTCGGCTCAGGTCATGATCCTGGAGTCCCTGGATCGAGTCCCGCATCGGGCTCCCTGCTCAGCAGGGAGTCTGCTTCTCCCTCTGACCCTCCCCCTTCTCATGTGCTCTCTCTCATTCTCTCTCTCTCAAATAAATAAATAAAAAATCTTTAAAAAAAAAAAAAGAAACTCTACACAGAGTCAAAACAGGACCACTACCTGCAGAATCAACTCTGACATAGGCCAAGTGGAAGTGCTAACACAGGTCACTAAGTGAGCTGTGCTCTAGCCACAGAATAAGGTACAACATTGGCCACTGCATGAGTTAGCTCCACAGACCATTCCTGAGAGGGGCTATCAATGAAGACAGAACACTGACACTGGCTAAAGCCAGAAATTATACCTTGGGCTTACCCAAATCCCGTTCGTATGCATAGTTGAAATCCTGGCCACAATCTCTACACTCATATTATCCATGGATGAAATGCTATCATTGATCTGAGACACAACTCCAGGGCACATCACAGGTAATGACCTAAAATGACAAAAGATTGAATATTAAATTGGCACACTGTCTGTGCCTTAACACTAACCACAGACTGAGCCTAATGCTGGACCAAGAATAAACATTAGCCGTGAACACTAATTGTCACTTTACCCAATAAAAGACTGAACATAAGTCCTATTCAAATTCTTATTTAGCCTTTTCCAAGGCAACAAGATCAGCATGAACAGCAGCCTCTGGCAGAGCCATAACTGGTCTTTGTTGATTTCCAAGCCTAGAAATACAAGTGATTCCAACACTGACCAGAAAACTAAAGTCAAACCTTGAGCTGAGCCCTATCCCTGGTTGTGGTCCATCTAAGGCTGGCCCACAGACAGCTCTGACACTAATTTTAGAATGAGGCCTCTTCCTACATACAGACTAAATCTTAATATTGGCCAAAATTTGAACCCCAATCTTGTATATTGAATTCCCAATGAGGTATAATTCAGGCCACACTGGAATAATGACAGCTTCCAAGTAAGCTTTCATACCAATCAGAAACAGACTCTGATCCTTGACACAGATTGAACCATGGCTATACGTCCAGGGCCTAATGTTGATATCAGGCTGAGCCCTAAATTTGGTTACATGGTCCTCTAACAAGGGATCCACATTGACTTGTAAAGATAGCAACAGACTGACTAAGCCTTAACCTAAGGAAAGACTGAAGCCAAACACATTCCACCTTATAAACCTGAACCGTGGCCGTAACTTGAACTTTACATTATCTCTTGACAAAACCTTAACCATGGCCTACTGATTGATCTATAAATCCCATCAGACTAACATACCCCAGGCCGTTATTCCACAAATTCATCTTCTTAGACTCAAGTATTTCTTTTCCTGGATATATTTTCAGGCATATTTTCTACCAACAATAGATCAAGAGTCTCACCTTTGTATGTGTAATACACACACACATATACACATGCAATCTAATAAGCTTTGCAGAAATATTACTTGTCACAGCTATGTATTTTAATTATTAATCTTGTTTATTGATATTCCCCCCCATTAGAATATAAGCTCCAAAGGGAAGGGATGTTATCTGTGTTTTTTTCCCCACTTCTCTATTCCCAACATCTTGAATTATGCCTGGAAAGCTGTAGGTACTCAATAAATATTTGTTGAATGGATGAATGAGTAGCTCCTTGTTACTCTTCTATCCTCTTATTTGACCTCTCTATGTTATATTCTAGTAATTATACTTTATTTTCTCTTGGTTCATCTATGTGACCATTTCTTCTCAGCTTCCTTTGAAGGCAAGGAAGCTTGACTTCCTCTACCTACTCCTTGAATATAGTTATTTTCTAGGATTCCATACTTACATACATACATACAATCTTTGTCCTTTAAAAATTACTATTCTAAACACTCTGAGTGAAATTTAATCCATCTTTGCTTAGCTAATTACCATCTATATACTGATGTCTAGTATATAGACATCAGTTTAGTCTGATGTTTAGTTCCAACCCAGACCTCTCTCCTGTGCTTCAGACCCACACTTCCTTGCAGCTACCAGGTATCTCCACCCAAATGTTCCACAGACTCCTCAAATTTTAAGTGTCCAAAACTTAATTTCTCCTATCCCTCACAAAACTTGTTACTTTTTCTGGGTTCCCTATCTAAATGAGTGGTACAACCACATACTCAATCTTCCAAATCAGAACTTGAGAGTCTCAAGACACTCCTTCTTTTCCCTCACTTTCCATATCCAAATTATCACCAAGTCCATCTGATCATACCATGTCTTTGCTTAAGATCCTTTGACAGTTCTCTGCTATTTCAGGTTAAATTTTGAACTCATTGGTATGGCCCTCTATTCCTGCCTGATCTCGTTGTTTTTTGTTTTTTTGTTTTTGTTTTTGTTTTTGTTTTGGTGGGGGGAGGTGTTCTCTGCACTTCCTCACATTCTTTTTTTTTTATTTTTAAACATTTTTATTTTTTTAAGACTTTATTTGTCAGAGAGAGAGAGAGAGCACAAGCAGGGGGAGCGGCAGGCAGAGGGAGAAGCAGGCTCCCTGACAGCAAGGAGCCTGATGTGGGGCTCGATCCCAGAACCCTCGGATCATGACCTGAGCAGAAGGCAGCCGCTTAATTGAGCCACCCAGGCATCCCGCTTTCTCACATTCTTATTCCTCAGTATGAAATATGGTTGACCTCCCCACCCCCAAATACCTTACCAGTTCTTCAAGTCTCACCATTCAAGCATGGCTTCTTTCAGTAGTAGAATGAGTTCTTCTGCTTCTATGGTCCTGTAGAACCCTATGTAGACATTTTTTAGAGCACTTTTTACATTGTATACTCTGTCTCTTCTCATAGATTGTGAGCTACTTAAGGGCAAGGGATGTTTTCTAATTCTGTAGCAATAGTGCCTAGCCCAGAGCCTTGCACAAAGCAGTTTGCTGAGTAAATTATTCAGTCCATTAAGTCCTCTTTTTTCACTTCTCTTTTAAATATTTTAGGCAATTACCTTAGCAAAATGCAATCCCTCTTTGTATTCATTCCACTTGTGAGTCAAAAAGTTGTCCTGATCAGTAAAATTGTAGTAACCCAACTGTAATGATCCATTCAGCTATAAGGATTCATCTCTAACAAAGAAAAAAAGTCGAACATTAGGAGTGAAATCAACGTTAATAAACCATCATTTTCCTCAACCTTTAAATTGTTTGAAAGTGCTAGATGTCGCCATCTATTTCTTTATCTACCTCTTTTAACATGTCTATTACTAAAACAGTAGTTTCTTTTTTTTTTTTAAGATTCTATTTATTTAGGGGCGCCTGGGTGGCTCAGTCATTGGGCGTCTGCCTTCCGCTCAGGTCATGATCCCGGGGTCCTGGGATCGAGCCCCGCGTCGGGCTCCCCGCTCTGTGGGAGGCCTGCTTCTCCCTCTCCAACTCCCCCTGCTTGTGTGCCCTCTCTCGCTGTGTCTCTCTCTGTCAGATAAATAAATGAAATCTTAAAAAAAAAAAAAAGATTCTATTTATTTATTTGACACAGAGAGAGAGAGACAGAGAGCAAACACAAGCAGGGGGAACGGCAGGCAGGGGAGAAGCAGGCTCCCTGCTGAGCAAGGAGCACAATGCGGGACTTGATCCCAGGACCCCGGGATCATGACCTGAGCTGAAGGCAGCCGCTTAACTGACTGAGCCACCCAGGGGCCCCCAAAACAATAGTTTCTTAAAGAAATATACATTTATTTCTTATTATTCAAGTTGTATTCTCTACCTGTTCTAAATTGTTGCATTACACCAGTGATGTGGCAACTGTTCTTTGTGGCAACAATGTGGCTTCCTTATGGGTTAAGTGGGCTTCTGCTGGGCTGGCTTAGATCACATTGCTATGCCTCTTATGATACTACTTTGAAGTAAAAATGTGATACCCGACTAGAAACATAGTATACATTTCCCCCAGAACCTCTGAAGTGATTCTAATGCAGATGGTTCACACAGAACACACTATGACATTTTAAAGGACCAGTTATTCTAAGTTTATCAGAGCATAAATAACATTTTTTTAAGTTTTTCAATCAAAACTCAATGAGAATTTTAAATCACGACATAAAGTGCTTCCGCTAAAATGTTAATAGCTTAACCAATAGTAAATTAATCTAGAACCTTCATCTACCCCCACAAGCACAACCCCATACCCCAAGAAGAGAGATTCTGTAGGGCACTACACTACAAACTACAACACCTACAATAATACCCTCCCACATCTGAACTCGGGGGATGATCGGACTGGAGGTAGGAATTGTGGGTATACAGAAAGAAGTGCCTCGACTTCATCTCCCACAATCCTCTGTCTTCACTTGAGTCTCTCCTCCAATGCCAATATTGGATCCTCCCAGGAAGAACGGCCTCCAACGGCCTAAAACTACATTTCCCATGAGGACAAGGGATAGGGCCTCCGGCTTCCCTGGTGACCAGTAACCAATAGGAGACACTGAAGCAGTCGCGATGTGGGTGAGAGTCCAGCCCTGGGCCTGAGTGCCGGGCCTAAGCCGGCTAGCGCAAGGCGGGGAGTTGAGAAGACAGTTGCGTGGCGTGGGGCGCCGCGAGGGCGCTGTGCTCTCAGAAGCTGTTACGCCGGCCCGATTTTCCGCGGCTGTATAAGGAGTAGCCCTTCGGTAGCCGGAGAGCTGGAGGTCAGAGAGGCAGAAAGCCCGAGCGGCTATGGCTGGGGACTGTGGGACCGAGGGGGCCTAGGGAGGAGGGTGCTTCCGGGCCGCTGTCTTCAGCGCCTAACTCCGCCCAGCTCCGCCTCTGCCGGGGAGGGGGTGTCGGGCCTGGGAGTCGGGGGTGGGCTTTTGAGCTCTCCACGCCAGTTTCCTCGAGCTTCGAGCCTCGGGAGCGCGCCCTCTCTTCTTTTTCTGCCTCGCCCTCTCTCTTTTTCTCCTCACAACGCCATCGTCTCTCCCCGCTCCCGTCTGGTGCCACCTCAGGGATCTGAAGTTAGGGTTCTCGACCGGGGTCTTACTTAGGCGGCGTCTGGACGCTCCTTCTTACTACTTGGAGGAGTTGGGTGACCTCTTTCCTCTCTTCCCTCAATTTACATTTCAGATTTGGACACACACCACTCCCAATGCACACACTCCCCAATTCCCTGTGGGGGCGTGGGAATTCCCCGCCACGCCCAGGGAGTGACTTTTTGCCAAATTTTCACTTTTTGCTTCCTTGCTGGTGGGATAAAGTTCGTCGCCCACTCTTTATTGGCCCTTCCAGCCACCCGCCCCTTCCCTGACCAGATCTTTGGAGTGGAAAGGGTTTCTCCTCAGTTTCTAAAAGGCGTGGGGAGCAGTAGATAGAAGAAATTTCGCTTTTGAGAAATACGTGGTTAAGGTTCAGTGCAGTGTTCTGGTGAGAGTCAAAGGCAGGTTAGACCTCTTTTAAAAACCGAGCGCTTTCGGGGTTTCCAGCACGGACTGATACAGCACTAATACAAAGATTTAGGGGGCACACCGACTGCGGAATAAAGTAGACTGTGCGAAACAGACTGTATCAATTATTTTATTATTACAAAAGCATGCAAAAAGTGTGTAATACTGATGTGGTTGGGAGTTGATCTATGGAAGGTCAAGCCTAACCCTGGAAGTGCTGTAGCTTGACACTGTTGTCTGTCTTCCAGACTAATCCTGGTAGGCTTTGTGGAGGAGGTGAATTTTAATTTCGGCTCCAGAGGAGTAAAGAGGATTTGAAATGGGCAAAGAGGAGGGAGAAAATGCCTTCTGGTACCGGGATTGGTATCTGAAAAGGGCAGATAGAAGAGGGAGCACTTTTGTGAAGGGTGGGTATGCCTGACTGGAATAAAAGGTGTCATCAAGAAGAGATTGGGAAAGAAATAGTGTTGGAAAGCTTGGGGTCATAATAACAAGATACTTTAAAGCATCCACATAGTTTGGATATTATTCTATATCAAATAAAACTAAAGACAAAAAATTAAGATTGGGTGATTTTTTGTTTTTGTTTTTTTTTTTCATCCTAGGGGAACCTGATTTGGGATCATTTCTTGGAGAACACAAAGAAGTGTGGTGGTATGTTCCAGGTGTGAGTTTAATTTAAACCTAAGAAGAACTTTGCCTTATAGACTGTTTTGTTAGTGGCTATTCTTAGCTACACTCTATAGTTGTCATTTTAAAGCCTGGTGCCATAAATTTATTTTCTTAAGAAATGTATTTGCTGCCCTTATGCATCATATTATCTGAATTGTAGTCATTTCATTGGGTAACAATAATGACTATTTATTGAGCCCATGTAATGTTCCAGGCACTATCATAAGCACTTTGTTGCATTATCTTAAGAGTCTTATGAAGTAGGTACTATTTTTCCCAGTTTTCTAAAAGAGAAAACTAAAAGGCAGAGAAGTGTAACAATTTACCCAAAGTCACATGGATTGTAAGGAGTTGAGTTGGGGTTTGGATGTATAGATCTCTGGCTTGAAAGCCCATGCTCTCTCCACCATGGTTTACTAGTCTCATTGTTCACTTTTCTTCTTGACTTTCCATTTGTGGTAAGGAAAGATTATTGTGAAGTATAGTTGATCATCCTGGCAGAAACCCAAATGATTCACTTTTAGTTTCTATGTCAGTATGTGTATGCTGTAAAGTAACTGCCAAAACCAAATTAGCTTAACTGCTATTGCAGCCATAGCTAATTGTGTCTGCCAAAACTATAGTCAGTATGGCTATTTCTGAATCAGATAAATTCTCTTTAAAAAACATGTCTTACATGTAAGCTACCTGGACAGTACTTTAGGTTTTGTTTTATTGTAGCTTTTGTTTTAAGTGACTTCCTAGGTCACTAGGTCTCCTCCGTGACCTTTGCTCACATGGAGTGTTCAGGATGCAACAGAGTATGAGATGTGAGCTCTCCCTAGGTCTAGCTGGGGAGGTGTATGCCCATAATTCTGAGATAATGTGTAGTGTAACAGAGACAGGTACAAAGTGCTATTAGAAGGGTAAAGGAAGGAGTGTCTAACTATAAGGGAAAGTCAGGGAGAAGGCTTCTGTAAGGAGGTGACCTGACAGGTCTTGAAGGATAATGAGTTTGCCAAGCAGAGAACAGTAGAGGGGAGGCATTCCAGATTAGAAAGAGCAGTCTGTGACATGTAGCTATAGAAGAGCAAAGCATGTCCATTCAATATTTAGGAATTCAGCATGGCTAGGGTACAGATTGTTTGGGAAAGGAAGGTTTGTAATGGTAGAAGAGTCTGGAAAGATAGGTTGGGGCTCATTTGTGAAGTACCTTGAATGCTGTGCTAAGAAATTTGGATGTGCTCAGGACACCTGGGTGTCCGTTGGTTAAGCGTCCGAGTCCTGATCTCAGCTCAGGTCTTGATCTCAGGGTTGTGAGTTCAAGCCCTGCCTTGGGCTCTATGCTAGGCATGGAGCCTACTTAATAATAATAATAATAATAATAATAATTTTTTTAAAAAAGAAAGAAATTTGGATGTGCTCCCATAAGCCATTGTTTTTCAAACTGTAGGGTGTCTGCCAGTGGTGGTTATGTTGTATTCCCGCAAACATTTTAAGTTTTAGTAATTATATATTCTGATGTGTCTCATAAAAGATAAAACTGAACTATGTCATCAATCTAAAGTTATGCAGGAAATGGCTTAGTAAAAATAGAAAGTGAACAAGTTTTATGTTGATTTAAAGACAAATACTAAGTAAATAATAGTACATGTGGTATGTGAATATGATAATACTCAAATAAAATTTGGGAAATAGTGATTGTAGGCAATAAAAAACATTAAAATATTTTAGAAGAGGAGCACCATAATGAGGTTTTTACTTTAGGATGCACTGGAGTGGGGCCTGACCAGTTAGGAAGCTAGAGATGATGAGGACCCAAAGGAGCTTCATATGAGAGGAGGGAACAGATATAAGAGACATTTAGGAGGTAGAATTAGTAGGACTTGGTAGAGGTGACTATTATTATTCTATCAATGTCATCAGAATTATTTTTAAAAGTCTGTATGTCACTTGTCTGTTATCCTTTATATTCTAAGATGTGCATATTACTGCCCAAATCAGGCTATGCACATATATACATGAAGGTATCAGTGGAGGCTGTTTTCACGAATGGGTTTGGATTACACACGGGCATCTTCACTGCCTTACTGAGTGTCCCTGACAGCAGTGGCACAAATATTCAAGGCACTGGTAAGGAATATGAGTATGATCTGTGACCCTTAGTCATCTGAGGAACTCCTCCTTCAAGACTCAGTTCAAATATCAACATCTCTTTGAAGCCTTTCCTGCAACTCTCCCCACCCCCACCACCACACACAAACACATGCAAGCATACATGAAATAATGTTAGGCTCCTGGCTTCCATGGAACCCTGCACTTACCTCTGTCCTGGGCTGCACCACACTATAGTGTGTCAGTCTGTGGATGTGTCTGGCTCTCCCCTAGACTGTGAGCTTCTTGAGGGCAGGGGCCAGGTCTCATTTATCTCCATACCCAGAGCATCTAGAACAGCTCTTGGCACTTGGTAGATACCTAATAAATGGTTATTGGACGAAAAACAATGGATAAACATATTCATATGAATGTAACTCGGAACTTTGGTACGATAGTGCCAAATGTTACAAGAAGATTAGCTCTTTGCTACATTAGCTGCTTTTGCTGAATAAAGCAGTAAATTAAAGTGACCTGAATGCATAACTTCACTAGAGGTTTCTTTCTTTTTTTTTTCATTTTCCTCCACTCTCCTGTGGTCCCCTTCCCTTTTTCATTCCCATCAATTATCCACCCAGCCACCTGTTCCTTAGACCTGCTCATTGCTTTGCTCCTCTTGACAGAGTTCACATTGTTCCTGTCCCAATACCCTGCCAAAGATCCATCCCTCCTCTCCACCCACCAAATCCAGTTGACTCCATCCTTGAAATCACTCTCAAATGGGTCTCTCACTCATAAGTGCTGCTAGTGGGACTGTAATTTGGAGAGAAATTATCAGTATATATCAAAAATCTTAAAATTGACATAGCTTTCAGTCTACCACTTCAACTTCTGGGGCTCTATGCTGAGGAAGTAGATGTGGTATTTCCAAAATTTTAGCTCTCAGGATATCTATCCCAGGGGAAAAAAAGAGAAAAACAGCATTTTAAATGTCCCCAGTACTAGAGATTTGGATTAAATCAATTATGGTATATCTATAGAATAGTTCACTAAGTAGCCATTTAAGTTGATGTTACTAAAAAATATTTAGTGATGTTGAAAGTTGTTTGTGATATAGTAAGAGAAAATTCAGGTTATGAAGCTGACAAATTCCAGTTTAAACACACACACATACACATGCACGTGGCCACACACACAGACACCCCGTGTATGCATACATTGGAAATTATCATTATCCTGTAATGTTAAACACAAAAATTCAATAATGGTTTGCTGTAAATGGTAAGGTAATGTGAGTTCTCTTTTTAACATTTTGCATCTTTTTATTTTTTAATCATCTATAATAGTATATTTGTTACTTTTTAAAAGTTATTAAAAATGTTTTTCCCATGTCTACCCCTATTATCATTGCCATAGTTTGGGGCACACCCCCCCCACATACACACCCTGCAACACACACACACACACACACACATACAACTTCTAGCCTGGATTACTACTGTCTCCAACCTGCTTACCTTCCAATCCATTTTCCACCAGTGCTAACAATGATTTTTCTAAATCGCAAATCTGACGCTATCCATCGCTATATAAAATAGTTCAGAGGCTGCCCATTGTCCTCAAGATAGAATCCAAATTTCTTAGATTGGCTTATAAAACTTTTGAAAATCAGCTCCCTGCTTTTCTCCCCAGTGTCACTTTTTCCTCCTATGATTTACTTTTTCTTGGTGTCTAAGGCCAGTGCCTGGCATATAATAGGTATTTAGTTAATGCTAGCCAAATGTTGATGTGGACTATATGGGTTAACTGTTGTGTGCCAGGATTTCATTTCATCCTCACTAAAAATATTACATACATGCAATAGTTACCCCTATTTTACAGATGAGGAAAATTAAATACATAAAAGTGGGAAGAAAAATCATCATAAAGAACATTTTTTTAAAGGAAAAAATTGAAACCTCCTGCTATAACACAGCTCTCTTCATTTTCCTGCAGCCCTTGCCAATCTTAGTATACGCACAGACTTTGTTCATTCCCTTGGGCAAGTTATATGTGACCACAGCATAACAAGAACAGTACAGACTGACATGATCTCACCATGTCACAGTTCACATTGTGCTAATTTACAGAAATCTTTCCTTTGTGTACATAACACTTCATGCAGGAGAGACAGAAGAGCTCCAGTTGCTCTGTTTTTCTTCCTGTTTTGAAATTCTATGTCTTTTGGGATGGGGATGTCAGCAGAGAGCTACAGAAAACTGTGATAGAATTGAATGTACAAGAAACAATGTGTCTCATGGGAGCCAATGTCATTGGTTAATTTATTTTTTTAAATGTCATGTAGATGTATTTTCCAGCGATCTCTCCCCAGGGAAGACCTTGGTTGAATTCAACTGTTAATCCTATTTACAGAATGCAGCCCATGCGTGCACTGTATTCCTGCATTGTTAAGTGATCTTAGACATATGTAGTGGATTACCATAACGACATACAATCAGGTGAATATGGGATATCTGATTTTCTCTACAAAATGTATCCGTGTTCATATTGTCATTCAGGATCCTGCAGCGTGGTCTTTCCTTCATTTGCCTTACAAATAATACCCATTGTGCAAAAATGGATGCTTTTAAAGGACAGAAGTCCTAAGAATGAATTGTCTGAATAAAATGATATTACTTTGTAAGGAATTGTCGCTTTTAAATACTCCAAGAGAAAGAATCTATAATTCTCTTGTTCCATGATCAAATAAGTTGAATACAGAAATTACAGATAGAGTTTCAATTATTTGATGAATTATTGTGGGCTTATTATGTGCAAAGCATTCTGTTAGACACTGCACTAGATACTTACAAATACCCTCTTTTAATGCCTTCCAGAGAGGCAGAGACAGAGATTGATATAGTATACACACAAGAATGAG